CAGATTAAACACTGTGTCCACTCACTGTCCACTCTATTAGACACTCCTACCTTGTCAGTCCACCTTGTAGATGTAAAGTCAGAGACGATAGCTCATCTGCTGCTGCACAGTTTGCGTTGGTCATCCTCTAGTCCTTCATCAGTGGTCACAGGACGCTGTGGGCTGGATATTTTGGTTGGTGGACTATTCTCAGTCCAGCAGTGACACTGAGGTGTTTAAAAACTCCAGCAGCACTGCTGTGTCTGATCCACTCAGACCAGCGCAACACACACTAACACACCACCACCACGTCAGTGTTACTGCAGTGCTGAGAATGACCCACCACCCAAATAGTACCTGCTCTGTGAGGGTCCATGGGGGTCCTGACCACTGAAGAACAGGGTAAAAGGGGGCTAACAAAGTATCAGAGAAACAGATGGACTAGTCTGTAACTGTAGAACTACAAAGTGCACCTATATAGTAAGTGGAGCTGATAAAATGGACAATGAGCATAGAAACAAGGAGGTGGTCATTATGTGATGCCTGACCGGTGTATATAATCGGTTTGCTTTGTTTTACAGAACTGCCAGTGTTCTGTTCCTCCACACCATTTTGTGTAAACTCTGTTGTGCCTTTTTCATTGTTTTAGTGATGAGTACTTCCAAAATCCTGCTCCTAGTAAGATAAAAAAAACTGACATTTCACAACATTTGGACGTAAATACAACTACACTGAGTATATTTCTGTGTGGATCACAATTTACAGTCATTTTTTAATCTGAAACTGTGAGCTGCCTCTAAAGAGCGATGAACATCGACAAAAACATCCCCTCAGCCTAAAACAACCCATCAGGGAAATCAACACACTCTGGATCCTGAAACGGCCCCGTCTCTGCCCCTGAAATGAGCTCTGAAACACTCCCTGTGCAGGATTATGATGTTGGGATTAGGGATTAAATTACACACGGATGTTATTTTTATGATGTCAACGTTGTTTTCTTTTTTCCCTGCAGAGCTGTGGATCTGTAGAATCAAGTAATCAGAGCGGAAGCGATTCCAAGCACGGCATCATGGGACAAGTTAAGGAAATGTCCATGTGCATGCGCAGTATGCAAAAGTTTTGGCATCCCTGGTCAGGGTGAAAGTGAAAACAAGTTAACATCCTCTACAGAGAACAGACGCTTTAATGCACAATCAGCATTTATTTGCTGAATTCAACATGTTGGGGGGAATAAATAAAACATGAAATGTGGCCTGTTAGGAACTGAACGAACCATGTTGAGCATTTTCCTACAAAGCCCCAAAATCGTGGAATCTCCTGACCTCTTTTTGGGACTCGAGACACACTCTACATTTAAAACTAGACTCAAAACTGATCTGTTTGCACAAGCATTTTGCTAATATCAGCTGTTGCACTATTACTCTCTAATATCTCTCCATAAACAGACCAGTCCTGTTAATCAATCTCTCTTCATTTGAGCCTGTGAGCAACGTCTGAATCGCCACATGAGCCCCATCTCTGTGGGCTGCTCTGCACCTCACCTGCATGAACTGACCCTCCTGATGCTGCATAAACTCAAACTATCTAATTAACCACTGCTCCACCTGTTTTTCCCCGTTTTGTATTCTAATATTTTATTCTAACGCTGTTTGCTATCCGGTGTGTTCCAGAGGAGGATGGGTTCCCCTTCTGAGTCTTGGTTCCTCTCAGTGTTCCTTCTCCTGCTCTTAGGGAGTTTTTCCTTGCCACTGTCCCCACTGGCGACGCTCATGGGGGCTCGGACCCGGATTTTTCTGTAAAGCTGCTTTGTGACGACACCTGCTGTAAAAAGCGCTACATAAATAAACTTTGACTGACTGTGTAAAATAATCAAATTGCTCTGGATAACAGTGTCTGTCAAATGCCGTAAATGTATGGAGAACACACTTTTGCACATTCTAAATTATTTATTTTTTTTGCTGAATTTAACATACATGGGGAAAAATAAAACCTAATAAAACCAAATACCAAAATTTCTTAAATAAGCCTGAACCTTTGATTCAGATCAGTATTGTAGCGAATTGAATTGTTTTCAATTTACAAAATCAAATCATGTGTCTGTGTGTGTGTGTATATATATACAAACACACACAGACAGGGAGATTCGCTGGAAAGGGGGCCCCGAATATTCTATAATAACTCTCTCTAAGACAAAGAAATCTGAATGAAACAATCTGCAATGAGCTCCTCAGTATATGGAGCTTCGAACAAGCGACATTGAACCTCTCTAATGCTTGCCGGTATATTCAGGAACATGGAACGCTGCATCGCAATGTGTCTGGCAGAAAACTGAGATCACTTCCAGCATCGCATGTAATGCAATCGATTACACACGTGTCAAGATATGTAGTGTAATTTTTAGGTTCAGACTGCTTCGTCCTAACGGGGTTACAGCAGAATATTCGGGGCCTCTTTCGAGTGAATATCCCTGTATATATTTCTATGTATATTTACATATAAAGATAAATAAACCACATACAACTTATTTCAGGTCTCAGTACCAGTAATGTGCCAGTTAAAACTTTATTTTTTTTAAAAAAAGGAAAACCCGGGAAGACAAAGCTACAAACTTCCAAAGAACAGTGATCTCTGATTCTACACAAACTTTATTTTTCTTAAAAATACATTACCTTAAAATAACAAGAAGCAATTTTAAAGGATATATATGGGGGGAGGGGAGGGGGTTAGCTCCTGTCTCATGAAGATACAGCCCAGACATTTTTTTGGAAGATACACACAAGTGTAAGTGTGTGTGTGTGTGTGTGTGTGTGTGTGTGTGTGTGTGTGTGTGTGTGTGTGTGTTGTGTATGTAGTGTAGAGGGCCATGTTTGAACTGAGGGCGCGGATCACCTGAGGAAAAACAGGAGGACAAACAGCCTCCACACAGCAGTAATGCAGCAGTCATATGGGCAGAGAGAAGAGAGAGAATGAAAGAGAGACGTAGACAAAGAGAAGAGAAAGAGAGGTAGTAGAGAGAGAGAGAGGTAGAGTGAGGCAGGTCAGCTACAGTAAAAGCACCTAAAGGAGGAACACTAAGCAGCAGCTACCGAATATAAGCAACGAACGACCCTCCATCACTTCTTTAGTGCGTGTAGCGGTTTAACAGTAGAATCTGCAGTGCATCTGTTAATGTAAGATAAAGCTAACCAAGTGAGTGGGCACTGGCTAGCTACGGTAGCTAAAGCTAACCAAGTGAATGGGCACTTTTCTAACAGTCGTGTGTTTCTGCATGATACATGGCCTCAAGTACGTGTGTACAGACGCTAAAGCTAACCAAATGGGCATTTTCCAAACACCGCTGTCCGTTTTCTTGTTTCTGCAGCGAGCTTGGCCTCAGATCAGCACAGCAACGTGAGTTCACATTTTCACCACAGCAGTTTCCAGTACATGGTGAGCTGCAGTGGCTAAAGCTAACCAAGTGAATGAGCACATATGCATTTTCTTCAGATCAGTGCCGAATGGAGAAATGTGTGTTTCGAGTACACGGCTAACTAGAGCAGCTAAAGCTAACCAAGTCAACATATACACGGGCACTTTTCTAAAACAGCGGTACGGTCACATTTCTGCCCCGAACTCGGCCTCAGAGGGCTGAAATGCATGTTCACCAGATGTGCACGTGAAACCACAGTACTTCTGCTAACAATGGCTAAAGCCAACCAGGAGAACGATATGAGCATCAGCACAGCCGTGTTCTCAGCCTCAGATCTGTACAGAGAGCTGACATGGAATGTAAACAGATCTAATATGGCCCTGTTTACACCTGTGTGATCTGATCATAAGTGGACAGGAGTTAGTACAGGTGTGAATGGGGTAAAATGTGTCTGAGATGTTCCGATCACCCAATCCACCTTTGGACTACACCGGTAGTGTGAACGCTAAAGTGTCTCAATCCAGCGACAAACGACTACCTAAACATTCGGAACAGCTCATACATTTACAGTGTCTGACAACAAATGAAGTAAATTCAATAACATGGTCGCTGGAGACGCATTCAAGACCCATAGAGATGCCAGATGTAAACGACTGGACGTCTTAATGTCCACTTATGATCACTAGAGACAGATGTGTCAGATGTAAACAGTGCCTGAATTAATCCACAGCGTTTTCCAATACAGCAGCAGCAGCAGCTAACGCCAACCGCAAAGGCAATCCATGCATGGGCGCTTTCTTTTCAAGTGCTGTGCATCGCATTCGGTGGCAGATCCATGAGTATAAATGCATGTACGTGTGTGTGTATTTCCACCACAGGGGTTTCCAGTACGTGTGCCCTCTGCAGTAGTTGATGCTAACCAAGTGTGCAACGAACGCATGGGCACTAAGACGGTTAAGAGTTTCTGCTTTGTACTTGGCCTCAGTTCAGAGTGTACGTGTGCTCCTGTGAGTTATATCCGTTCTCAAGACCTCATCGATTACCACTTTAGCCTCAGTGCTACAGGGCAAAGAGCAGGTGATCAAGCACAGCTCCATAAAACACACTTCTAGACAGGCTGCTGGATTATAAAGCTATGGAAACGCCCACCTACACAAGGTCCAGAAGACTAAATTTAGCAGAGAGGTAGATTCTTAGAGACAGGGTGAGGAAGGAAGCTCCACTTGACTGCCAGCAGAGACCTGCTCCACACGCATTTTTGCCACACGCACACTGGAGGAGCTTCAGCAGGGGGTCAAAGCTGCTTGCTGGCTCGTTGCTACAGTGTGAATCCGAAAAAAGCGTAGAGGGCTGCTAATAAAACCGCCTTTACCTCTATGCGTCTAGCTTACACAGATTTAGCACAATATACACATATACGAGTCCACTCACATTACAGGGAAAAGCACAACGCAAGCAGCTCTGACTCCGCCCACCAAAATCAAACAATCGTATTAGCGGAGTGGTTCTGAATCCTGGCCCCTGCCATTCACTGCGTGTAGTAGGGCTGCACAATATATCACTTCGTAATTATCGCGATATTTGGCTTTGCAATATTGATAGAAAGATGCATTATGCAAATGAGCTCTCCAGTCAAACGCAGTGTTTTATATTGTGTACTTTGGGTGCACTGATGAAAGCACTCATGCAATCCAACCAAAGTAAAATATTTTAGACAGAAGTCAAGAATGCAGGCCAATCCTTAATGCATTTTAATATATCCCCAATTGCAAATCTGGCATTTTGTCATTATCGTGCAGCCCTACTGTACAGTATTTTTCTTTTTCCCTCCCTAACACAACCAGTTCAGCTCAAGAAGGGCTTGTAAATGAGCAAGAGAAAACAGGGGTACTCCAGAATTGAGAAACACTATTTTCTACAGTAGTGCCCCCTACAGGCCAGAGGAGAAAACAGAAGGCCAGAGTGCAGGCAGCAGGTGCAGGAAAAACAGTACGTCCACCTGTGTGCCCAGACCGCGAGTGCGCGCGTTGTACGGTGTATGTGAGATTTCATTGTGTGGGGATTTGGGGCTGAAAGCCAATCAGTAGAAATTTCAGAGAGCAGGTCAATATCAGAATAAAAGAGCCGTCATAAAGTCAGGAGGTGTCTGAAAGAAGTGTGTGTTTGTGTGTGTTTGCAGGCGGGGGTTTTAGTTCTCGGCTGGGCGAGCAGGGAGCGCAGACGCTGGAGCCGGTGGTATACCATCAGGCTGTGCAGGAGGAGGTGGGCCAGGATCTGTAACAATAAAGAAAACAAATGTACAGTTATGATTGGGGTGGACAATATGGTGTTCATCTTTTGAATTAAATCACATTAAATCACAATATGCTTTTCTAAGCATATCGCTGATACTGTCAGTACTTAAATGCTGAACAACAGCATGTTTCATTAAAAGTGGCCTGTTTATTTGGATTTAGTGCAGTGCAGCATGTATAACGTGACTACTGATTCTTTTTTCCCCCCCCATCTCCAACTTATTAAACCTCAGGGAAAAAAAATCTCTTATATTTGTCATGTATTGTGAAAATGTCTTTTTTTGTACACAAAAAATTGCTGTGCAACCACCGCTAAAGGTTTCCAAATGAACTGTCCAAAGTCTAAACTAAGTGACAAGAACAGCTCATACTGCATTCAATGGTGATGTCACAGCCCTAAACACATTTACATATGTTGACCCATTTTCCCTACAGCAGTTTAGACCTCACTTTGCAGAGACTAGCAGCTTTTCATCCCTGAAAAAAGTGCGTTTGCAGACTAAAGCGAGGAGGACTGAAGCAACAATCTCTTTTCTACTGTTGCTTTTTCAACAAGGCATATCACAGAGCAGCCAATCGGAGCAAGTCATTGGCTTACAATGAGCATTATAACAAAAATACTGTTTACTTTTAAGAGATAAAGAAGTTGGAAAATGGGCATATAAAAAATGAATGATGACTGCTGGGTATATAAAAAGTAAACAAAATTAATATATGGGCTGTTTAACTACTGACTTTCAGCACTTTGACAATAGGGGTGAAATATATATGCAGTAAATACTTACACAGGCCGTTGGGGGCTCCCGGGTGTCTAGGGCCCATCATAGGGGGCATCCCGCCTGGCGGCGGTCCACCAGCAGGGGGCCCTGGCATCATTCGGCCTGGCATGGGCTGACCTGGTCCAACCATTGGTCCTACACAAAAACAAACACACATACAGAATGAGTACAAGTGGTGTAACAATACATATGTTTAGGTTCAAGACAATGTTTAGACAATTTAAGACAATTTTTTAAATTTAAAGGCAAGATTTGATAAAATGTTTCGATGCTCTATGTATTCAAAAGGACCAGAGTATGATTCGACTCGGATCGACAAAGTTCATATGTTTGTGCATGCTGACCTGTCTGTGGTGGGTGGTGGGGTCCCATGGGGTGGTGCATTGGGGGGTACCCGGGCCCAGGATGACCGGGGTGACCGGGGTGCATGCCCGGCGGGGGTCCGTGTGGCAGAGGGCCATGGGGCGGTGGTCCATGTGGTGGGGGGCCATGTCCTGGAGGTCCATGAGGCTGAGGTGGAGCTCCATGGTGACCCCCTGCGCCCTGCTGAGCTGCTGCAGCTGCTGCCGCCGCCTGCTGCTCCATCTGCTGACGAGCCTTCATCTCTGCGTACTTCAGCTGCTCCATGTGGAACGCCTGCCTCTCCGTCAACAGCTGCTGCCTCTGGAGCTCGAGCTGTAGAGAAAGTGTTAATAATTCAAGAATTAATTCAAATAGCCTGACTGCGCAAAACATAGAGCATTTTAATCCCCCCCCCCACAGCTTAAGCGCACCAAATGTTCAAATGAGTTTCCTAAAAAGGTATCAACAGCTGAATTCCACGACTATCGCTATTGTGTGCGTCATTCAAATAGAAGAAACAACTGTAGGTGTTTGCAGACAGCACATAAAACAAGAGAAAAAAAACAGTATTTCTACAGAAGTGTCACTCAGTATTAGAGTTAGTGTTTAATATGTGATTTTCGCTAAAAATGTACATTAAATAAGTAAAATGTTTAAAAAAGGGGCACTTAAACATGTATTATATTTAACATTATGTTGAAGTCAATAATGGAGATGCATTAAAAATGTGTTCTCACATCTTGGCAGTTCGAAACAAAATCTAATCATGAGATGCCTAGAGATTCCCACCTTTACTTGATACCAAAATAAAGCTAATACAGGCTGATTAGCTGAGACAGACACACACTGCCGCTTCCCCGCACTACCATACAGGCTGTGAGCAGAGTTATATAAAGACCCATTCTTCACGCACTATTTCCAGCTGCTAAACTGGGTTACGCGCTCCAGCCGTGACACCTCAACATCCCGCGCTGCTTCATCGAGTTAAAGTGTCAGGACGGCGTCTCTCCAGAGAGTGGCACAACTACACACAACACTCCCTAACTGGTGCGGCTAACAGTGTAGAGTCTGACACGAGGTGACGAGCCAAAATAGCTTGTGCTGTATTTGCACTGTAAGCTTTCGGCCTCCAAGACCAGAAATGGTGTAAAAAGACTGAAAGCTGAAGAGAATGAATTATACATTAAACATGGCCAGTTTCATTACAATGAGACTACTGCCAATATTAGGCTGCACTTAGAGGCTGCATCCTCCTTTGAAAGAGACAGTTTGGCCTACAATGGCACTCACCCGCTCCCCATCACACTTTTCTCCAAATGTAGTCGATTAGAAAAGCCATGTTTGGTCTCAGAAGTTTGCTTCTTTAGTTTTTTGAGCTAACAAAGCTAATGGAAGCTTATACCCCATAATTAGCATGGCGCTAACTGCATGCTTAAATAACGCTTGATTAGACTTGACTATGTGGTTTCTGACACTGTTATCTATAAACATGAACTGAAGTACAGACCAAACTCAGGCTTAAGGATGTCTGCTTCTCTAACTTGTCAGTTTACTTTCTTTATTTTTTAAATTTACTATAAGTTTTTTATTTATCGTTTTCAACAAAGCAGCTCTCTGCATTAATGATCAAGTGCCCCCCAAAACCATGTTTTTAAACGAGCAAGTCTAAAGCTGGGGGTCCTGACTCACAAAATGGCAGTCAAAAAAGGTAATGTTACAGAGGCCTACTCTGACACATCTTTGACAATAACCTCTCTATACAGCACATCCACGCCGGACGTCTTAGTTCACTGAGCACATTTTAAAAAAAAAAAAAAGAGGATTTTTTAAATTTGATTTTTAGGTGAACAATTGCTTTAACATAGCTTATCTGCTGCCATGCTGTGCAGGCCCAAAGGACGGTGCTGATGTGGAAGTAGGGCACAATAAGTTGAGAGAGTGGGTTAAATCCTCACCGCCTCCTTCTCTCTGTCCATTATCGTCTCCAGTTCCTCGAAGTGACGAAGTTTAATCTCCAGCTTCTTCATCTGAGTCTCCACCAGCAGAGCCACCAGAGACTTGATCTTTCTCTCCTCTACAGCGGCCAGGTGCTAAAACAGAGACAGAGAAAGAAACTCTGTTAAATAATCAAACAGTTTGCTGAGGGTATGAAATAAATATTTACTGCAGCTATATAAAGACAGCAGTAGGGCAGAAAAGCCTCAGTCTACAGGTTAAATATGAAAAAGATCCAAGCTGGACACAAGAGTCACACACAGATTCTGAGATTTTAAAAACTCTCCTTATATCACACAATACAGAAAAAAAAAAAAAAAGTAATTTTTTTTTTATTATGTAATTATCATTATGACCATCATTGATAGCGTCTTATTAATAGGAATGATTATAATCATTCCAAAATAAGTGAAGATTATATTTAATAAAGAACACTTGCGCGCAGGGCTCTCTGTTCACTGTTTTTGGACTTGAGAGTAAAGTCCATATCATATCACATCTTATTCACTTTTATACCAGCAATACACTTGGCGGTACCTTAGCTTTAGTAGCAGCGGAGGCAAGCGCGGCTGCTGCAGCAGTAGCAATGTTTCCTTCTCCCACATCCAGCTCCAGCTTCTTCCTGCTCTCCTCTGGCATGTCGCCGGCTTCCTTCCCTTCCTCAGACACTTCCATCGCCTCCTCCTTTTCTTTCTCTGAAGCAAACATGATAAAGAAACGTTAACTCCAATAACAACAAACGCTGGTGGATTTTACAACAGCACTCCTGCTAATACAATTCCTAGTTAAAACTAAATCTAGTTAATCTCAAGTTCTTTCCAAGGTGAATTTGGGGAGATTCTGTAGTTTAAACGATTTAAACAAGATCAGTGATTTTAATCCAGTATGAATCTGCAGCACAAGCAGATTTCAATTTGACTGTGAAAACTGTGGTGTAATTTTAATCCAGTATGAAGGTGTAGTACTAGTAGATTACAGTCTGATAGTACTAAGACTGATTTTACTCCAGTATGAATCTGCAGTGCGCGCCAATCAAATCTCACATTATGTAACATCCTTGCAGGAAACAATCCAGCTCCAATAACACTTAAAACACTTAAGAAGCTGTATTTACCAGCATCGGCTGCTGCAGCCTTTGGCTCTCCTCCTTCACCCTCTTCTTCCTCACGCTCAGGTTTTTCTGTCGTTTCGCTTTTCACCTTCTCTCCTTCTGCTGGTTTCTCTGCTGAATCGCTCGGCTTCTCTGCCTCGTCTTTTGACTCGGCCTAGCACACAAAGCATTACATAAAAAAAACAGCAAGTCTTCAGATTTCACTTTGTCAAACCTTTTAACTGTGTACTTCTGGCTACGTTCACATTTCCAGGTTTAGTGGCACAAATCACATTTTTAGCCCTAATGTGACTCAGATCTGATGTTTTCAGAGCTGCGTGGACATGCAAATCTGATCTTTTCAAATCCGACCTGAGCCACTTTCATATGTGGTCCTAAATCGGATATGTATCGGATTCGTGGTCATGCAACCTTAATGTGACGCTCAGATCGGAATTCATGAGCTTTTTTCTCTGCACGTGCGCCATCATTCAGCGTTACCATGGCAGCAGCACCTGTAAACGGTGGAAAAGCAGCTCATCTCACCTTTTCCGTCGTCGTCTCACTCTAATAATGAAGCTGAGAGCTGATCAGAGTTAATTATCTTCTCAGAGAAGCTCGTTCTGACCGTTAGTTTGTGCTGATGATGCTTCATTCACGTGACGTTACTGAGTAGGATGTGTTCATGAGGGTCATTTCAGGACGCCGGTTCGTCACATTAATGACAGATTAGAATCACTTACCGAAACGAGTGTGAACCATCGTGTCAGAGAGATCGGATTTGAGCAACAAGGCTTCTAATGTGAATTTAGCCTTTAACCCCTCAAACTGCAGGCTGAGGGACAAACTGAGGACTCAAAGTGATGAGTCCGTATGTGGGCGCACAGTTTGAGTTACCTTTTTATCTTAAAATAAAATGTTAGCTATGGTCGTAGCTGCATGAAAAAGCTAACTTCAAACAGATTCAGCAAGTGGAGACCCAACTCACCTTATCTGGCTGTTGAGCCTCTGAATCTGTGTCCATCTTCTCAGGTTCTGCTGTTTCTGAAAAAGAAGGGAGGAAAAAAAGTATCCCTACCATTACTATGTGGTTGTTGTGACAAGGGCAAGATTATTAATACGCTTCATCTCAGAGTCGGGGTGAAAATCTCTGACAATTAATCAACAGGTAAAATTTCACCACCAATCGAATCCATTATTTTAGTTGCTTATTTCTGAGATGTGTTTAAGGCGTGTATACATACATACATACATACATACATACATACATATACACATATATACACACACACACACACATACACACATACATATACATATATATATATATATATATATATAAATATATATATATATATACACATACACACACACAAAATACAATATACACTCACGCTATGATTTATAAACTCACTGACTACATTTTATATATCTCTGACACTAACTGTATATGATAAACTCAGACTATACATAAAATATAACACACTGATTATCATATATGCAGTCAATGTGTGTAAATATCAGCATATACTCATTGACTGTATATATGATACTCATTAACTGTATGTATGATATGATGTATTGACTATATGACATCTGTGATATTCAATATATCTATCAATATATCTATGATAGTCAATGAGTGTATATGATACGTACTCACTATGATTTATACACTCATTGGTTGGAACATGCAGACACTTTCACTGGACGTCGGTAATAAAAACTGGAAACTGTTCACTGTGTAAGTCATGTTATTTTCATGTTCTGTGTTCAAAATAATGTTTATTATTGACCATGAAATGTATTCTGATTACAGCGTATTTTGTCTACTCACATAACTAACAAAATGTACTGCTTTATAAATGGATGGAAAAAAATCTTTGAGTCATTCAGCTATTTGTCTATTAAATAAACACACTGATTATTACTGATTGCAATCAACGCAGCTAAACTGCCACATTCAGATGCACAGATGTATTTTTGCCCCCCTACTTAACAGTAAACTGTGAATGAGGGCTAGAAGACCACTGAAGCAGACACAGCAGCATGCAGAAGGCTGGAAACAGCAGCCGGTCCAGCGCCAGAGAGAATCCGGCATTTAATCAATAGTGCTTTGTGAGCAGTTCAGTCAGGCTGAGCCAGAAAAAGAGCCGCGCTGCACCGGCCGCAGTTATTCATACTGATACTGGTAGTAAAGGAATAATAAAGAGCGAGCCAGAGTTTATCAGGCAGCTAATAGCTGCTCGTTTCTGAGGAAAACTCTCTGTGACAGCGCTGTGTGGACCCAGAACAGAGACAGAGCACAAACAGACACACAAAGGACTGAACAGAAAACAGAGCTGTGCATATTTGATCTGAAGGCCCAGTCCAATTTCACCCGTTGTCCTATACCACTTAGCCTTCTGTTCTGCATGTTCTCATCTAGGTGTAGGGTGTCCCGACCGTTGTTGAGATAGAGGGGGAGGGTGAAGTGTTGGGGCTACATGACCCTCCAAACTGAGGTTTTTCAGAGACTCCAAACGGAGTGATATGAGGAAAAATGAAAAACAGACAAGATGGCTGAACAAGAGACCAAAGAAACACACAAATGTGAGAATTTTCCCCAGTAAAAACTATAATAACCATCATATTATCTTAGTTTAATGTCGTTTCAGTGTATTACGGCCTTTCTTCATAACAAGCATAAAAAAAGCTAGTAGTATGCTAATGTCTCTGTAGCTAGCTAACTAAATTACCTGTTCCACCTTAAATAGTCCAGCAGTTCTGATGCCTGAAGAGCCAGAATGTAACTGCTGCTCCATTTAAAGTGGAAGCTGGTGAATATCTGACTTCAGCTTCGTATCACTGAAGAATTAGGGGGGGGGGTGATAATAAATAATTGCCCCCCTCTTTGAAGATCATATGATGCCCTAAATGTAACTAAAGCCCAGCAGTGAGGAGCTGAACTTTACCCTCCTCTGCTCTCACTGAAGACTGGCAGGGTCGCCTACAGAGCAGCTGCTAGAAAACAACAGAACGGTGTACGTCAAGTTTAGTTCATATTGTGCTTCAGGTTAAAGCAATATTGAAGTAGCATTAAAGTGTGAGTTCAGCCAAAAGACAAACTGACTGTTTTTCGCAAAAGCAGCTCTTCACATAAATGATTAGACGTAAAAATCACATTCTGAACCACTAAGTCTTAAGTGGGGACTCGCGAAATGGTAGTCAAAAAAGGTAACATTACAGAGGCGGACACTGACGCATCTTTGACAGTGACTTCCCTACAGCACGGATATCCGAACGTCATCACAAGTTAAGCAGCATGACAGCGCAGAAAGCACAAGGACACCAGCGCAGGCGGCTGCATGTGACAAACATTCGAACATGCAGTTTTATTTTGACAGCCCTACAGAGCTGTGCGCGTGGGGCTGCTGCAGCCTCAGTAGTAACAGTAATAGTATTGGTAATGTTTGTGTAAGTGCATGTGAAAACCAAACAGAGCTTACATTAAATGACCCAGATTCAACCCCTCCCCCTACAGCCCATCTGGCAGCGCCACTCTAATCCAAACAGTCCCCCACACGCTGCCCCTCGGTCATCACGCCACGTGGGCATTAACATTTGTAGCTCTCAGAGTGATGAGGTGACGAGGTCCTTCAGATGAGGTCTCTGACTCTAAGGGGCCGACCCTAAACATCTCTGTCCTGACTCTAAGGGACTGTCCCTAAATGTCTCTGCCACATCTCAAAACGTCTCCATCCTGGCTCCTGACTCTAAGGCCACTCCGGCCATTTCAGCATCTGAAGTGGACTCAGCCTGTGAGTCAGGCAGCTGAGTCACAGGTTTCTGTGCATATATGAACATGTCAAATGAACTCAGACCCTCTAAAGGGCCCCATAAACGAACAGAACTGAGACTGTGCCTCGAGCCGAAAACAGAACCCATTGCGGCAGACACTCAGGGTCATTTTTCCAATTTTGTGCAATGCACGTCGGCCAATCGTTCCAGCGTGGCCAATAGGGGAGCAGCAGGCATGTCTGGCGGTTCCTCTCGCCACCTGAAAGGTTAGGCGTATCACAGAACGCTGCCCACTTTACGAGCTCTGCAAACACCGTGAGTGATGTGAAAAGGGTCCAAGTTCTAAAGGAAGTGTGGTCAGAACAAGAAGCAGTCTGAGATCTCAAAAAACCAGAGAGAAAACAGAGTCCTCTTTACTTCACTTACATTCTGAACACAAAAAAGAACTGAGATCATGCGCATTTGGTTCCCTTTCAGGCTTAACAGAACTCAGTTTGGTTAATTTAAAATGAAATATATGTGAAAAAACCCACTGCTTTGTGCATTGTGAGAAAAAAAACAGCGCCAGTCAGCTTTTTTGTTCTGTTTTATGGTAAAGACCTCGAGGCTTACCATAATAAATGGCAGTCTTTCAGAACTTCAGCAGGTAAAAACTGACTCCCAAATATTATATAAGGTATTACAGGATAAAGACTGCCCGAGATCTTGTGACAAGACAGCAGAGCTGATATTTTAAAGAAATGAGATGCAAAAGCCCAGGTGATTTTACCACATTAAAGGCTGATGCTGAGTTTCAAGCTGCTTTCACACACTGAACGCTGAATGAGTGAAGTTTCACCGCTGCTCTTTCAAATGTTATTTTCATCGGGGTACGCAGATATGGATTCAAAATCTGGTGCGGTAGAAGCGCATGGGTCATTTTTCCACTTTTGGTGACCATCTCGGCCAAGTATCAGCAAGGCCAATAGGAGAGCATCTGGTGTGCCTGGTAGCTCCATTCACCAACTGAAAGGTTAGTTTTATCGGAGAGTGTCGTCCACTTTCCACCCAACCGGCGAGTGCTGCACATACTGCGAGTGGTGTAAAAGGGAACTGAGTTCTAAAAAAGCTGTGGTGTGAACAAAAACAGGTCTGAGATCTCATCAGTGCTGAAAAGGATATATGAAAACTAAGAGACTATCCTTAAAAGGTCTCTGCCCAGTCTCTAAGTGACCATGTCTAAACACTGGCCTACTGCATGTACTGCACTGTTTGTCTTCATTCACTATTAAATCCTTACAAGCGCTGCTCTATCTCCCTCTGGTGGAGACAGAGTACAGTAAATGCTGCAGAAACCCTCACGGCACTTAATCTCCCTTCTCGCTTTATTCATCTCTTTAGGGTCTCAAACTTGCTATTGAAAACATTTAGTTTTGAGTATAAAGTGCTACCAATCGGGGTGCTGAGTGTTTAATAAAGGTGCTCTATGGAAAGAGGCTCAAAAAGTACAAAAATGATTATGCCATGCCAATTTAAATTAAGGACCTTCGGATATCCTATCAATGTGAGAGATTACCTGTTTTCTCTGGCTCTTCTGGTGCAGTGCCAGCAATGCCACTGCTCTCCAGGCCGAAGGATGGATCCACCTTCCCCGTGTTTCTGGCTGCCTCCTGCACCTTCTTCACATGAGCCTCCACCAGCTCCGCCGGAACTTCCTCACGCACACGAGAAAACTCCTCTGCACGTACAAGTTGGACAGAGACGGCACGCAATCAGTCTCACGTTTAAATGCTATCAAATTTTTGTTTAGTACAATTAGGGGGAATTCCACCAATTTCTGAATATTTCTGCATAACAAATGGCTACGATAAACAAAGTCATTCAGACTGTTACACACTTAGTTCTAGAGAAACTTTTCACTTCTCATCATTGAAACTGAAACTCAATAAAACCCTCCTGTTATCTTTGAAGACAGTTTGATTGTATTCAATGTTTAACGTTTCTAAATAAATGACTTTTTTGCTTAATATTATTGGTTTTCTTAATTTAATGGGGACAACTGGGCAAACAAATTTTTACCAAAAAAACCAGTGTGTTATGTTTCAAGTTTTAACTGTACAAAACAACACAAAAAAAAACAAACAAACAAACAAACAAAAAAAAATCAACATTTTACAAACATTTGATTGATTCAACCCTCCAATTATCTTTAGGATCAATTTGACCGCACTTGATGTTTTTCAAACTCTAAATAAATGACTGACACCTTTTTTGCTTCATATTTATTGACTTTTCCTAATTTAATCGAGAAATCTGTGTAAACATAAAATTCGTACCAGAGGGGAAAAATATGCTGTCAATGTCATGTTTTAACTATATTTTAGCTATTTTGCAAACATTTGTTTTGATTGATCAGGATGATTGAGCTCACAATAACACTTTTATAATCTTCAAGTACTGACCAACAACATGCTGAGACAATTCATTGCGATACTCTCATCACCCATAACTAACACCCACATATTTCACACTCACTCACCTAAGGCAGCCTTGGCAGCAGCAGCGGCCACTCTGGGGTCCACCACAGAGGCGAGGAAGGCCACAGTGCTCATGACGGGGTTTCCTGATTGGCTGAAGGGGACTGGCTGGTAGGCCAGGGGTCCGAGGGTCGTCTCAGAGTTTTCTAGGTACGGGTCTTCAATAGGCAGCCGGAGGAAATGCAGAATACATTCGTCCTGTGTGCGGCTCCCCACGTGCTCTGAAACCTTGTTCCAGTCGTCCTTATACATCTCCAGAGCCTACAGCACATAGAGCAGAGGATTAAATCAATCCCCTCTGATTATTCTCAGAATAATCTTAACACCTTGTGTTATCAGTATCATTTGAACTTCGGCAAGAACGGGCAGGGCTAAGCTGAACCAGGCTAAATAGGTAGATATACGTAAATGCATTGTTTGTGATGGCACAAAATTCAAAACAGCTGTTTTTGCAGTGTTAACCCCTTAACAAATCAGGTTTATTTCATAGTAAGGGTTATTATTCATTTACTACAGGGACTTCAATGCAAACTAAGGGAGCTATTCTTAGGTCATAGAACTGTGTAATAAAACTTTGGGCCCGCTGGCTTGTTAAGGGGTTAATTGCCATTTATGAACATAAGTTAAAACAGTTTGCTGGCCAGTCCTTATCAATTAGCATATTTACTTAGTAGATGAAACTACTAAAAGACAGAGACAAAAAGGAAAATTCTGTTTGCCGTGACACGCACCTTAATTTAGAAAGATACTGACTGTATATCGCCACCCTCAGAAGAAAACCTTGTATCTCCATTTTTGGCGGTTTTCAGTTTTTTACATAATGTGAAAATGCATGTTGCTCTTTACATTCTGTGTAAATTTCATGATGAATGGACCAAAAGAAACAGCCCAAAATTACTTGGAAAAAAAGTCTGGTTCAATTGACTTACATTAAAAGTGAAGTATTTTTTTCCTTCTCCTGTAAAGTTACCATTTTGGAGAAACAAGGTTTTCTTCTGACAATAGCAATATGTTTGTTAAATGTCACACTGTTAGGGCAGTTTTTTTGTTTTTACCAAGCTACTGGTTTAAATGATGCACATTAGGAAATGTATGTTATTGTTATTTCTACCCTGCCAGTTACGATTAGCAACAACAAAGGCCAGTTTGGTAGCACAGCATATTAAACACTACATGATCTACTTCCAGTTGATGTGGGATGATTACTTACACTCATTAGGTTGAATGGGATTTTTTTTTACCAGCGTTCTGTAGCGTTCTAACAGTAGAAGCTTTGAAAGAACACCTTGCTCCAGTGCACCATGCAAAAGCTATTGGTTAACAGCACAAACAACCCACATTCTGGCTGGTCAGATGTCTTACCTCTAACAGCAGCAGAGTTTCCTGTTCAGTCCACTCTCTGGTACTGCCTCCTTTAGTCTGTAACACACAGACACTTCATTACAACTCCAGACTGTGGCAGTGACAGCCCATAAAACGACGGTCTTTATATTGCAGAAGGAGTCCTGGGTCAGTTTCTCACCTTCGGATTCTTCTTAGAGTACATGTCTGTCCGCAGGCCGAAGTTCTGCAGGTCTGTGGGCTTGTCTTTGCTTTTCTCTGGAAAGTTCAACATCTGCTGAGCAGGGGGAACCTGGTGGATAAAAAAGGAATTTGATCAGGACACAACTAGCAACTGCACTAAATAAGCCTTGATAAATACACAACTTTGATTTCACAGAAATGTTGCTTTAGCTAAGATACGCACACTATATGCCAAAGGCAGTTGATCAGCAAAGACATGTTTGGTGTCTGAAAATTTCTACTTTAGTTTTACCACTGGAGCTACGAGGCAGCTCATACCCCACCAATTAGCACAGTGCTAATTGTAGGTGTACATAAGTGAATACTTAACAATGCAACCCAAGTTAATGGGGACCCATAATGCTCATTTTCAATGTTCAACATTTTATTTTTGGTCTACTAGAACAGATTTACAGCTTCTATGTTCCAAAAACATTATTTTTCCCCTCATACTGTTCATCTCTATTCACCCTCTGTCTGAAACACACTGTTAGAGCGCCTATGTCTTTAAGCCCCACCTCTTGTTGAGCCCACTGTGCTCTGATTGGTCAGCTCACCCACTCTGTCCTGACTGGTCAACCGCCAGAGTGGTTTGAAGTGGCAGTGATCATTTAAAGCATTTAAATGAACTATTCGAGTTAACAGAGGCAAATCAGTGCCAAAGACTGACCTGCGGAGGGCGGTGGTGTAGCGGTACAAGGCCGGAGGGAGTATCGGCCAGGACATTGAAGTGGGATGTAGGAGGGGGTCCCATGGGCAGCGGCCTGCTCTCCGCGTCCACCTGATAATTAACGAGGCCCCACTGCTCCAGAAACGCATGCACCCTGACACACACACACACAAAATAAACACGCAATAAAAACCCACAAAACAAATGACAAGAAAATCAAAACAGAACCTAGATTAACTCAAATGTGTCTCCAGTGAACACTTAAGATCAGAAGTTGTGCCTGGAGCAACAGCACTGCACACGTTTACTACTTCGGTCTCTCTCTAGTAAAAAATGAAGCTGTGTTCAGGTTTTTCCAGGAGGTCCTTCGTCACCCTTCGAGACACTTAAGTGTTTAAACTGCCAATTTTACGGGGTCACCTCTGAAGGTGATCAGATTAAAATATACACAAATGGTTTGGACAAACCATATCCTGTCCTTTCATACCTAAAGAAAACAGACTCAGATTCCAGCAGGTCATAATGTGAAGAAAAGACGCACGTAAGTACCTCATCACAGCACACACGTCTCCGGCCAGGTTGCGCCTGCAGGAGGTGGAGGTGAGGTACTCCTGCGGGTTCAGCCGGTACGTATCAATCATGAAGTTACGATAAGCCAGATATCTGAGCAGAGAAAACAGCACAGTTACAGTTAGAAACAGAAAAACACAGCAATGACTTAGAAATACAGCACAAATTTAAACCCTTCAACAGTGTCCAACAGTGACCGCAGCACAGAGAGATGATTAAACAAACAATTAAAGGGATCAGATTTTCCAAATGTGCTGGGCTCGGGTCAGGGCCAAATTTCTGGTCAGGTTTCTCTCAGACCGCCTCCCACATACAACAAACTACACTCTGCACTTCTCCTACTTTCCTTTTATTCCATACTTTATTGTTTTTATCTACTTTCACTATTTTAAAGGAGTTTATGATGTGCCATACCAGACCTCACCAGAAAACTAATGCACTAGAGATAAAATGGCATATAACAGGAAAATTTATTCATTTGTTAACTGTATGCATCTATATATTTGTATATATATTGTATATAAATATTTTTGTTTAAAAACATACATATAGATACATATGCATATTTTATAGAAATCTGAAATTTCATTACACTTAATTCTATATAATTTTATATGAACATTTTATATACAAATACAAATGTATTTCATATATGATATAAATGTTATACAACTTCTATTGAGTTATTTTTAATATATTTTTATATATTTTCTAAGCTCATCTTTTTAAGTACATTTTTATTTATTAAGATTTATGAGCTTTGATATGCTTGATTAATACATTGGTTAAAGTGGAATCTAAACTCACTGGTGAAATCGAAAAAAGAGGAATCTAAAATTTTAGTCAGCTGACTATTTTCTCCTCTATTTTTTTTTATTTATCCATTATCTAAGGATGGTCATCACTGTCGTTATGCGTCTGCCGTTATCCTGATTTTTTTTTTTGTTTTATTCAGCAGTCTGGGTGATGGGCCTGTTTAGGTCAGTTTTGGACACAATTTATTTTATCAGTTTCATACTCAGTTGGGTTTGAACCAGCTTCAGCTGTCTGAATTCAGCTGAAGGTTAGCCTAAACAGAAAGTTGGTAAATACTGCAGCGAAGTACAGCTCATCTACTGGTGTGAACTTACATTTCTGGAGATTTTGATTTGTTCTTGCCATTGAAGAACTCTGGCAATGCCCGTCTTTCGATTTCATGGATACTAGAGAAAAGAGAGAAAAAAAAAGAGGAAAAAAAAAACAACAAAAAAAACACTTGAACACTTCAATACCAGCAGAGCAGGATTTCCATTAAAATCCCTCAAATTAAAATCACAGTGCTCCAATAAACTTTTATAACCATAAACACAGAATGAGAGAAGCTCTTACGAGTTGTAGTCGAACCAGGCGGAGTAGCTGGGGATGACGATGTGATGGGTTTGTTCGGTCACGTTGTCTTCACTAGAGTCGATCAGACGGTTCACCTCCATTTTACCCTGTTCTTCGTCATCCTGTCAAACAAGCAGAATATACATTAATAAACAGCTTCCTTCAATGAGAGTTTATAGAAAAAAACCCACTGTGAGCTCCAACTGAATTTGGCACTGAAGATGAAGAGTCTGTAGATTAAACACAAAACAACGATACATATTTAAATATCACAAATTCACCTACCACAGTAAACTGCTGTGGATTAGACCCAATTATACGAATGCTTGCAATAGGTCGTGCCTAATACCTCATGTCATGCCTTAACTTGTACATGTTATACACTCTGCACTTTTTATATCACATGAACTATTGTGTGAACTTCATTTAAAATACATAAAAAGTAAACTTATCATTTACTGGTACCAGAATGGAACAGGGGTGTATATATTCAGGTTCAATGCAATTTTCAATTCATAGTAACACTGAAATAGCATTGAAGTCAAAATTCAACTCCATTTTCGATACTGTGTTAAAACTGTCTTGAAACACAATGGAAACTCTTCCATCTAGCTCAGTCTCAGATTTAGGTTTTTATATGTAGTCTGAAAATGTTCTCAAATAGAACTTCAACAAAATAAAATGCAAAATCATAACCCCTATAAATTAATCCGTTAGAACGTCCACTGCATTTGCCACAACCCCTCCTCTTTACTCTGACCGTATTCAGACGTCTAGTTTTGATCACTGACAGTGGTTTCTGTGAAACACAGTAAATCATAAATGCTCGAAAGAGAGCAAGGGGTGTTTCACATTTAAATAAACTGTTTTGATCTCATTTTTACTGTTTTTCAAAATCATTACACCCACGGTATTGACTAAGGTGTTAGTTATTACCATCTCAGCCAAGAACTTGGTCAATGTCCTTGAAATTGCCGTTGACAGTCTGTTGATTTCTACATTTGAAATGTAAACTGTACGAACACCAGGCTTTGTTATTTTTCTGACTAATTTTGTGAACAATTTAAACTGCAATTATGTTCTATAAAGAGTCAAGATTTTTTTTTTTTGGCCAAGAAGGCCAGAATATCCATGTTGCCTCTGACTGAGCTGTGTGTTACTAGGTTCCCCACTTTTAAACTTAAGATAACACTGTTGATAATGTAGGATATATATATATATATATATATATATATATATATATATATATATATATATATATATATATATATATATATATATATATATATATATATACACATACACACACACATACATACACACACACACACACACATATATTTTTTTTTTTTAATTGCAGCTCTTGCGATTTGAAATTGCGCTCTCTTCAATTGCGATTGATATAAAAAACATACCTTTCAGCCCTACTTTCCAGCCACAGAACAGATCTTTTAATTTATGAAAAGAAACAGACACCACAAACTTGAAACAGATCAATGAAATTGATAACGCTTACCTTGCCACCAGATGCTACTGAGCCATCCTCCTGTTCATCTAAGAGAGACATTTCGGGGGGAGGTCAGCCAGGTAAAAAACAAAAAGATCTTTAAAAATAACACTATGCACACAGGGGTGCTCTTACCCAGATCAGCCACAGTTCCTCCTTTGACTGGTGCGTTCTCACTGTCTTTTTTCTGATTCACTGCAAGCAATCAGCAAACGTTAGCAGGATGTGGGGAAGACCAAAACCAACAGCAGCAACAAAGACACAGGCCTTAAGCAGAAAGCTAAGATGCAGACGGGCCATTTGAAAGAAAAAAAAAAAACGTTAAAGGCAAGAAGTGCCTGCACAACCCATCACATACCAAAAGGACCCATAAACATTAATTTATTGAAAATGTCTCCTAGCATTGCTAACTTAAAAATAAATATCCGTTCTATGTAACTTAATTCCTTATATACATACATATATATATATATATATATACATATAATATACATATATATATATATATATATATATATATATATATATATATACACACACACACACACACACACATACACACACAGGTTTGAGGCATGGAAAAAATGATCCCTGCGTTCCTCCCAATGTCCGTACAAAATTTGGTAAAGGTCATATTTTAAGATCTCTCATTATCACCATACAAAACGTTTAGTTGCTTCATGTTGTGTATGTGTGATGTGCACAATGACAAATATGATACATTAAATATAGAGTAAAAACCTCACCGTTTTTCGGCAGCGAGACCTCCTCCATTCCTGGCACAGGTGAAGGATCCTCCATGTCCTTGGTGAGATCTTCATCCTGCTCATCGTCATCACGGTGACCACGGCGTTTCCAGTGCGGCCCTGGATTCCTGACACCGCAGAGCAGGAAAGGTGAGCAAATCTTAATCTAAACCCTAAATCTAAAGTTTAAAACTACATACATAAAACAACGATCAGAGACATATTTTGTGTCAGAAGTTTGCTTCTGTAGATTTAGCACTGGAGCTATGAGGCTAAAGTAGCTAACAAGTAATGCAAGTCTATACCCCACCAATCACCATAGTGCTAAGTGCACATCTAAATCTCATACTCAAAGTGTGCTGTTCATCTAATCTACAAACATGGATTAAAGCACAAAATTCAATGTTCTTACCTGGGTTGGTAGGTTTGCTATATGTTTAATAAAACAGCTAAAACTCAGTCTTTATGCTACTGTTATTGTAGCTTGTCTTTGCTGTTAGTTTAACCGGTTATAAATATTATTATACTATTAGCTATAAACAGCTTTGTATTGTTTGTTTTTATTAACTTTAATGCAAACATAATGGCAAGCTGATTAAAACATGGATGAGAAATTAAAAAAAAAGATTGAGAAAAAATAATTACGTTTATCCATCTTAAACTGCGCACAGCGTGTTTGCTGATATTTAAATATCACCTAACTTGACTGGCGATTGCAATAGATGCAACAGACTTTAGCCTCGTAGCTCTGGAGCTAAAGCTGAAGCTTTAAAGCTAAAGTATCAAACAGACACTAAACCTGTCTTCGCTGTGGTAAAGAAGGGAAATCGTCTTTGGAAATTTCGCTGTTGTTGATGGGGGCTGAGGGTGCTTACCCTTTCTTGCCGCCCTTCTTGCGGGACTCAGCGGGGGTGCTCGGTGGAGACGGAGAGCGCCGCCTCTTCTTTCCTCCGGCCAGGGACTTTCGCTCCTTACGATCGGGCGTACGGGAAGACTGATCAGTAACCACGGTGACGGAGTGAGGGATGAGAGAAAGAGCGAGAGAATGCGAGAATGAGAGAATGGAACGGTTACACACACAGCCGGGAGGGGAAGGGGGAGCTGACGAAGGGACACAGAGGGGAGGAGGGGCAAGAGGATGAGGAAGGGTGGAGCGAGGAGGAAGAGCTATAGAGCGTGGGCGAACAAACATGGACATACACGGATGACGAACACACGTACAGGCCTGGGGGCTGCTTCACAAAGCGTGAGTTCAGAAAGGGTGGGCAACACCACAAAACATACATCACAATAGTTTGGAGAAACTATACATTAAAAGAGTCCTGATATGCTACAACAGACATAAAGCACAAGCAAAACACCAGAGCGTACGGGTGTAACGACTGTAATGCAGCACTGAAAATGGAGAAGCTTTGTATGAAGTTTAATTTGAATCAGCTCAGTTTTCTGTATTGTTTATAGCTCAATATGAGTTTCATAAGATCACTGTTTCACACAGGGACATGCGATTTCTCAATCTTCTGCTTTTTAAGAATGTTTTATATGAGCTAATAAACATAACTTTAACACATAATCCAATCTTGACCTCAGAAATCAAATCAAACCTGAAAAATGTTTACCGCTACACTCCCTGCAGTATGACATTTAAGAAATGGCACGAGTACCAGGGCTTTAAATCAAAACCTCCAGTTGAACAGCTGTGATTTTAATTATATATTATTAATAATAACATCTCGCATTCTAAAAGCAGAGCTTTAGCCCAATAGCAACAAGCGACATCATTTCATCTGATTCTTTTAATGAAAAACAAGATACCTTTGTAATTATGCTTGACTGAAGTTTAATATAACGTAGACGACTAATACAGGCTTGGAGCTTAATTTGCACAAAATAATTCATTAAAATCGCAAGTGCAATACTGGTCAGAAAAAGTGCAATTAGACATTTCCCCTAGACCACCATAATGAGTACACTGATTTTTCTTTAATTCAGTGTTCTGCCCCGCATAACAAACGAAACAGGACCGATCTCACGGACTCCTGGCATTGTCAAGATTTGAATCAGCAAACTACCTAACTGACAAATCCTGCTTTGTGAAATGCCCCACCGAGGGGCCGATAAGTCAACTGACTCACCTCCTCTTCTCTGGGGAAGATGCGCTGCCTGAAGCTCACCGGCTTCCTGTTCTCGTCTACCTCGTAGTCTTCCTCATTCATCCACTCGTTGAATGCGTCCGTGTCCAACACCCATTTGGCATGCACCTGAGACAAAACGTCTTTAATACTGTGGCCAATGTAGATCTTTGTTCAATATAGTAACTGTAATTAACAATTTTATTCTCATTAAGTAACATTTACCCTTACACTCAACTTATTACATGCATGCTATGCCGCTTATATGCAACAAAGGTAAACATAATTATCAAGTAAACTGTCTGAAACCCATATCTGCACATTTATAAACCACTGCACAAACACGCCAATAACCAGAATGGTCTGAGGTCTGAGCACTCTCACCCTCCAAGGTTTCTCTGAGCTCGGTGGGTCCTCGACCTCTCCATCCACGTCACTGGGGGACACCCAGGTATCGTAACTGAAAACAATAAAATGTCAGACTTATGAGAGATTTAAACACAGTGGAACCAAAAAGGGAACAGAAGGAACTAATTACACCAAACAATCTGAAAACAGGACCCTCAGATCCAGTAAGCCCAGGACCAGCTACCCTTTAGTCTGCAACTGAATGAGGCTTTTTTAGAGTTTGTTTCTCTATTTTCCAAGTCACACAATGTGTCAAACAATTCTACACACCTGTCTGGGTAATTGCCCCAGTGAACCAGCACCTGCTTGTCTTTCCGCATAACAGGACGCAGCCACTCCTCTGTGACAGAGAACATCACAGTACCATCAACATTAATAAATAAAATAGTGGTGCAACAATACATCACTATTAAAATATAGTGACACAGGACACACAGCCTATGACAAAAAGATTATGCTGTCACAACACAATATTACTGATATATAAAATCATTAGAACACAAAATATAGCATTATTAATAATAACAATAATAACTGTGATTGTTTCATACAAACATTATTCATTTTACAAAACCTCAAAGTCTGGCTGAAATGAAATGGCACAATTATAGATTTTAGGAAAAAAGAAAAAAAGTCCCTTTTGTACTGTACATCAAAACAAAAACCATGTATTTATTTTCTCCTACTATTTCATATTTTACATTACTGTGCAAAATTACAAACTAATTTTGAAATTTGTCTAAAAAAAAAAGAGTCATATACAGTCAATATGATGCCGAGCTGCACAGCTGCAGGACTGACCTTCCTCAGACTGTGATGGGGAGGGATAGATGAGGTGAGTTGCTTTGGACTTATCGTCAGTGATGGAGCCCTGGAGAAGAGCCAACAAGAGCGAATATTAGAGAAATTAAAACTGTAAAATCTGTCCCTGAAACTGAAAACTGATGTGTGGGGTAATGTCTGAATTTCGCTGATTATGGCATCACGGATGATTCCTTGAAATGGTTCGGACTGCGAAACGATTCTGAAACCAACACTTTATACAAACACAAAAACACAGCTGAGAAAGAAACTGTATATTGCCTTCTAGAATGACAAAAAAGTAGGTTGTAGAGCGGTGTGTTTGTGTGGTAAAATTTACACAGATAAAGCTATGCATGCACAGAAAATCAAAACAAGGAATTGTAATATGCAAAATAATTCAGTTTTAACTGAATTCAACCATTTTTCGATCTGTCTAACCTGATGTCTCTTGATGATGTCTTTGAGTTTGCTCGCTTGCTTTTGGTCCACATCAGATGAAATGTACACAACAGGTCGAGTCAGGCAGTTGTTCTGGAGAAAACAAAATTACAGAGCACAGCTAAAGAGCTGAAGTTCAAGTAAACTTTAAATCTGGAGCCTGGTGGTGTTTCAGGTGTGCAGACAATGGAAAGCCTACCTGAGCAAGCGTTTTCTCGATATTCATGAACATCTCCACATTCCTGTCCATTCTGGATGGATTCTGCAGATCAAATCTTCTCCTGAACACAGAAAACCACACACAGTGAGACCAGAGGAAAAGAGATTTCAGCCAGGTTCCTCAGAACTGATATAGCTCAAAACCCTTTTAAAACTTTTCAATAAATCAATTTTTAATTAATCAAAATAAAAACAAACTCAATGTAAATTTCTAGTAACCTATTTATAGAAATGGCTTCCTCAAAAATCTAACTTACACAATTTTCCATGCTTGGAGCCCGTGTTAGATTTCAGCCGGAGAGACCAACTCAACAGTCACCCTTACAGTTTCCGTAAAAATGCATCACCAAAACTTCTCTCAGCCCACATCCAGCTTTTTAAGCACTTCAGCTGATCTTAACATTACTATGCTTTTTGAAAACCAAGCTCAGCATAAAAACTGATCCACAAAGACAGCAGTTTCCAACCCTGGTCCTGGTCTTTTTAGTGTTCCTCCCAACACATCCGATTCAACTAATCAGCTCTTTAAGAAGCCCATCCTGAGTTGAAGTTGAGTGTTAGAGCAAGAAAAGGCAGGGGGTACTTCAGGACCAGGGTGGGAAACTGTACATAAAAAAAAAAAAAAAAAACAAATAGGACCTGGTCATAGCAATAACTTCAGCACATTTTTCTGTGCTGTGTTCACAAGTTTGCGTTGAATTAAAGTCACTCCGCACCTCACAGCAGTATGCAGCCGACGGCAGCATAAGGCCATGCAAATGTTAGCGTGGTGACCGGAGTGGTGGTGAAAATGGATGATCAGAGAGCTTTAGCAGTGTAGATTGATTATTCATAGTGAAAAAAGACAGGAGGACGCTCTGTACTCTTATTTTTGCTGTATAATACTACGTCTGGAATTGAACATTTGCTGTCCATGGCTCCCCAAAAACAAAAAATAAAATGAAAAACGATCTGCGGATTGTTTCCACTGGCGGTGACAGAAATTAGCATCAAGGTTCCATTGAAAACAATGAACTATCCAGTTTGCAGTCGTCAGTCTGCTGCAAACATGCAAACGCAGTGTCAGTCTTCACACTTATATCTACTTAAAACATTGTACTTAGTTGTAGAAATACTGGGATAAATCAAAACACTTACCAGCCCTGCTCACTCTTGAACTTGTAGGCTGAACCCAGAATATGACACAGTGCTCCAGCTGGCTTGAAGTCCAAGAAGCTCTTTGCCTAAAAAAACACAAGGCAAATGAGAAGGCATTTACAATTATTCTGACCCAACAATTCCAGTGTCAGTTTGGGTCCTTAATGTTCAGGGGTTATAAATGTTTTAACTTCTTAAAACTGAGATTTCTGTACGATTGAATGACTAAGGTGTAAACAGAGTGGTTTGGTGTGAAAAGCTCCGTTCTAGAAAAACGTAGAGCCAGAACTGTTCACAGTGGTGGTGATAGGAACCAGACGTCCACCTCTAAAAGCTCCCTCACAGAAAGTTCCTACATGAAATGGTTATGAATTCACTGCCTGATGACTGTTTTATGATAGCTTTGAAAAGACTATGGCCTTAAACATGTGTAAAAACCCCTTATTAGGAAGAAGCACATATTTGACGGTCCTTATCATTTCTGATTTTCCACTATTTTCCATCATCAACATTCCATATAAACTCAGAAGACTCGTGTAGGTTCACTGGTGGTTCTGGATAGTAAATAAAATGTCTATATTTGTGTTGTAGTCATGGCGACCCCTGGTTCCTATCACCACCACTGTAAAGACATCTGAACCATTTCACACCAAACCACTCTGAATAACTTTACATCTCGATCAGTGGAATTCCTATTTAAAAAAAAAGACCATTGAAACTACAAGTACAAAGATTCTTATTTAATGTGCACACTGCGCTAAAACAACAAAGAGGACCAATTATGTTTTTTTTGCAATGACTTATGCAGCTCTCTGAATGCTAATAACATCTACAATGTGCTCTGAAGAGTGCATTCCTCATGACAACGATAAATTACAATCATATTTCTCAGTCCTGTACACTTGTTTATGTGATGCTAAACAAAAACAACTGTACTTCTTAAAATGAATAGTGAAAGCGGCATCAGTGAAGCGGCACTTACAGGCAGTTTGGTGAGGGCCGGGTTGCTCACCCTGCGGCCAAACGCGTCCTCCTGAAACTGGAGCAGCTGCACCACCAGTCCTGCCAGAGACTTACATGACGGAGAGTCGGCCTGGACATACTGCAAAAAAAACAATCACTGTTTAAGTGCTCAACACACTGTGTAGTCTTAAAGCTCTTGTATCCTACATGTTTCTTGCATTTTAACTTCTTCCCTTAGATCCACTTAAGACACCTGTGCGGCTTTACGCGTCAAAAATAGTTCTAATAACTTGAAGGTCTTAGTTCTGAAAAGCATTACAGACCACTTTCAACCCCCCACTGACATATGATGTTGGGAGTGGGCTTTACAAAAATCAAAGTAGTATCAAAGCTATATTATAATTATCATCACTTTCACAAGAAGACAAAACATGATTCCATTATATATAAACTGTTATTACTTTTGAAAAGTTTATATTCAAAACTTTTACAAATTGACATACAACATTCTGGAGGTTTTAAACATTTTTTTACACAATCTTTGCCCTTAATTAAATACCCCAATTAGAGAATGATTTCATGTTTACAGACTATATCAAACTCAAAAGAAGGGAAATTTGGTTTTCCATAATATGGGCCCTTTAACCTGGGTGGATGTTTATTTCACCAGAACACATGAAACAGAAACAGCAGCTTAAACATACAAATATTAAACAAGCTAATGAAACTGAGGTATGCTAATGTGCATACCTACTTTAGTAGATTTTTAGATGAACACACCAAGGTTAGTATGAACTGCTGACTTGTCCTTGAGGTCTTCACAATCATTTCTGAACCATCTAACTGTTAAAACAGCCAAATATAAATCCACAACTGTCTAAAATCTACAACTGGGCCAAACCTTGGAACTGGAACTTTTATCATGAAACATTTGGCTTGTTTTTGGCCCATCTGGCTGCCCCTCAAAGCCTTGAAACAAAAAGCAAACAAAAAAACAACCTGCTGCTAAACAAATGAGTAAAGCTCGTAATTGATCAGATCAGCTGAACAGTCAGCAGTTTGACAGTTTTGCTTAGCTACAGCAATCCAAATTAAATGCTGAGTGAAAGCTGGCTTCCTATTACTATTCGCCAGCGTCTTGCTCGAATTGTCCCGTTCCACCTTAAATGGCGCAGGCGCCAGACTGTAACTACTGCACCATTTAAGGTGGAACGGGATAATTCGAACAAGAAGCTGGCGAGTAGAAATAGGAAGCTGACTCCAACTTTGCCCAGTCCGGCCAAAACAACTTAAAAATAGCTCACATTCAGAAATAAAACAGATATCTAACTCCCACTCTAATCACTTGTAAAAATATGCGTCCTAATAAGAGATAAACTACTACATATTAGGACTCGTTAGCATCGCCGGCTAACCTCCCATTCAGCATTGTAATCAAAACACTGAGTCTGTTAGCCTAGCTTGGCTAACTCACACTTCGGCCGATTTTTTACCGATAAAAGCGCACAAAATTACAAAAACCTGAAACAACTATGGGGTAAATGTAGTAGACTTTCGAGCTAAGTGAGCTCTGAAGGTCTGGATAAATGAAAAACGGTCTTTTCGATACAGAAGGCTCAGTGTTGTTGAACAGGAGATCACGCTGTTTCTGCCGAACTCTATTGTGTGTTGGCGCGGGCCGCGTTAGCTTTAGCATCAGCAGCAGCCCCAACGCTACCGTTGTCGTTAGCGTTAGCGTTAGCATTAGCTAACCTTTTTGTAGTGTTTTCCGATCCACAGCCGCACCGCCTCCAACTGCGACACCGTCTCTCCGCTCTCCCAGAACTTAGCGGACGGTCCTCCGTCCTTCTTTCTGCCGACCGAGGCTCCGGTGCCGGCCGCTCCAGTCCCGGTTCCCCCCGCTGTTCCACCGGCTGCTCCCGCTCCGGTCGCCGCCATCCTCGCGCCGCTCAACTGCAAGTCCGCGCCAGGCCGCGCACCGCGCTCCTTTACCAATCACGAGAAGCCTCGCGGCGTTAAAGCAGGCGGCGCCTCTAGCGGCGGCGCAGAGAAACAACAACTCTCACTGTTTTTCTTCGATGCTACAGACACTGGCCAGTCATAACATTACATTGTCCACTTTATCAGCTCTACAAACTGTAGTCCATCTATTCCTCTGCATACTCTATTACCCTGTTCTTCAGTGGTCAGGACCTCCATGGACCCTCACAGAGCAGGTACTTTTTGGGTGGTGGGTCATTCTCAGCACTGCAGTAACACTGACGTGGTGGTGATGTGTTAGGGTGTGTTGCGCTGGTCTGAGTGGATCAGACACAGCAGTGCTGCTGGAGTTTTTAAACACCTCAGTGTTGCTGCTGGACTAAGAACCAAAAATATCCAGCCAACAGCGTCCTGTGGGCAGCGTCCTGTGACCACTGATGAAGGACTAGAGGATGACCAACACAAACTGTGCAGCAGCAGATGAGCTATCGTCTCTGACTTTACATCTACAAGGTGGACTGACAAGGTAGGAGTGTCTAATAGAGTGGACAGTGAGTGGCCACAGTGTTCAAAACTCCAGCGGCACAGCTGTGTCTGATCCACTCGCACCAGCGCAACACACACTAACACACAATGTGAAACTATGTGTTGCGCTGTTTTAGTCATTAGTTATGGACTACTGATTGTTATTACCTCTAATCTTTGACTAAACAAGACTGACCTTCATAGTCTACTCTACTTTGGAGCAGATTTACTGAAAGAGGCACTGAAAGAAGCGCTACTGACAGCCTACTGACACAATGTGCTGGTAGGGGTCAATTTAATGATTTATCTACTAACAACTTCCACGCAAATGAACACAGGCCCAACTTTTTAGTTAACGCATGAGCAGCACAATATGATCCCCATTTGGCTCATTAACTTTTTGTGTCTGCCAGTTAGGAAAAAGGGGTTTTATCTTACTTTGATTCTCCTTTAAACTGTGACTGATTTTGTCAAAATAATGACTTTTTTTGGGCAGTCGTGGTCTGGAGGTTAGGGCACCAGCCTTGTGACCAGAAGGTTGCTGCTTCGATCCCCTGAGCCGACAGTACATGACTGAGGAGTCCCTGAGCAAGGCACCTAACCCCCAACGGCTTCCCGGGCACCGTGGATAGGGCTGCCCACCGCACCGGGCAAGTGTGCTCACTGCCCCCTAGTGTGTGTCTTCACTAGTGTGTATGTTAATGAAGCAGTGTTTTGTTTTTTGTTTTTTAATTTGAGGGTCCCATTTCATAGGGCATAGATTTCAACTACTACCCCTTGTAACTCAGTTCAAAGGGGTTAGAGTGACACTCGAAAACAAGGGGTAGGGGTAAAAAGAAGAAATGGGACTGGGCCTTAGCGTAAGGAGCTGGAGAACGAACTGCCGGCTGTGCAGTGAGTGGGCGGAGCTCGTTACTCTGACGTAGCAACAAGCTGCTCGTTAAGGAACTATAATTTGGTGAAGGAACTGCGAACATTAAAACATATTAAACGCCGCGTTCACGGCCCAGTTTATTAATTTATTACTGTATTTATTTAACAGTGGTATTAAAGCAACAGAACACAGAGGGAGTGTGTTATCATGAAATAACATCACGGCTGTGATTTGGTCGCCGTAGATCATCACAGCCGTGATGTTATTTCATGATAACACACTCCCTCTGTGTTCTACTGCTTAAATAGAGGAATACACTGAATCCTCAGTCGGTAAAAACTCAGTCGGGTCACTTTTGAGCCATGATGTGCATAAACGTTTTTTCATCATATAAAGTATGCAACATAAAGCGGAAGCAAACGTTGAAAAATTGTTTTAATCAAAATGTTTTCATTAAAATCCTTATTAATTTCATTTTATCACTGAAGGTTAAAACATAGATAACAAGGTTGCGAATTTAGCCTGAAATAATCTAGCAATCAGGAGCGGTTGGCTTGTCAGCGCGCACATACTGCATGCTAACTACTAATACAGTGTAATTTACATGAATAAAAAAATATAAACATATCTTCTCTTTAACATAATCATACATTTTTGTATCAATAGTTTTTGTTAACAGGGTTGAATAATCGAGCCAAATCATTTTTTTTTGTGTGTAAATTGAGAAAACAGAATAACAACACTGGCGTGTCTGATAGTCACTCTGCACAAAACAAGATGAGGCAAATTCCTGTATCTGTCATAATAAATGGAGAGTTCTGTTTTTAACGAGGGGAACAGGTTTGGATCACATGGTTTCACATAAAATGTGAGACACAGGCTGTAATGATTTTTTTTGGTCAAATGATATAAATGAATAGGGAAACATTCTTTTAACATTAAATTGGTAGGAAATGAACCAAATAACATCGTTAATTATGGTCTTACTGGAAGATTCTAATGAATGTATTTGATAGAAAGTTCAATTTCAGTGAGGTGGGACAAAAATCACCATATTAAAGGTGGGATAATTTGGTTATTAAATTCTAATTTTAATTATTCAGTTTTAAATTAAAGCACAGATCCCTTCATTTTTCACAGAAATAAAAACAACAGTCACTTTAATGCTTTAAAAAGGTTGGACATAAATGGAACTTATTAATGGGAAATAAATTAAACTCTATTCATGGAAAGTGGCAAATAAAATTGTGCCAGTGTGTAGTGTGTCCATTCCTAATTAGAGCTTCCATTACTTTCAGGAGACTTACTACAACATCAACACTTTTGTCTGGAAACTGAATAAATGAAACGTCTCTGTTTTTGTATTGTACAGTATAAAGATGCAATGCTTTATGCAAAATTCCAGGACTCAGCTATGGGGAAATAAATCTGCTATTAGGAAATAGATAAGCTTTACTTTTCCCCATTGACTTAGACATGAACTCAGCCTTTAGGCCTCAGCTGTGATGTTCTTCTCTTTATTTAGGCCTTTGATGTTTGTATATACAGTATTCAAAAAAGCATGTATATCCATCCCTTCAGAAACATTTCCTCAGCAGATAAATAGTAATTTTCAAGTTGACTATGTTTAATATAAAGAGCAAGTCTGTGCCAGCTGGTGAACTGCGCTCATTTACCAATCACGAGAATGCAGACAGCAGAGAAACAACAACTCTCACTCTTTTTCTTCTATACTGTACACACAGTCATACACAAATCACACATTGTGTTGATTTTTAAAGTGAAAATAAGTCAATGCATCTCCTCTATGTGGAATAAACCTAAATGTGGCATTTTTCTGCTAATTTTCTGAGTTTAGCACATTAAAAAACACATTAAAAATGCATCATCACTTTTTCACAGGCTGTTTTATTTGTTTATTTTTTTTTAAATATGTTAAATTCAGCAAATAAACAGTAACTGTGTTTTAAAATGTGCAGACGTGTGTTCTGTGTAGAGGATGTGTAACTTATTCACACTCAGAAAATCAACAACAACGCAGGATCTGATCGGGGGCGCGCGTGAAGTTTGAAATCACAGGTGTGGGACATGATTAAAAGTGGTATTTTGACCCAAAATGTGCCTCATAAGTTACATTGTCTTATTACATATGAAAATGACACTATGCATACCTAAAAGCACCCGCAGCAAACACCCCTACAAAGTTGTTTTGAATAGTGTAACATTTCCAACACAGCAGCGACACCTTGTGGTGAAATTAAGAAAGGACGCAACACATTTAATTTTCAAACCAAGTACTGTGTTCATTTTAAATGTAATTTCTTCAGTCCTGTTGGAAAAGCAACATATGGCTCCTCGTAATGGAATATATCAATAGCAAAATTAAAATTAAAATATAATATGTGAAATGGCAATGCATTGTACATTTCTGTATACATGTACACAGTGATGTGCTAAGGTCTTTACCTATTATATACCTATTATTTGAAGCCATTTATCTCTGCAGTGAGTGTATTTTTTGCATATAAAATCACCATATACTATAAGAATGTGCTCCGGTTTCCTCCCACAGTCCAAAAACATGCAGTCAGGCTGATTGGACGTGCTGAATTGCCCCTAGGTGTGAGTGTGTGTGTGAATGTGTATGTCTGTCTGTCTGCCCTGCGATGGACTGGCGACCTGTCCAGGGTGTATCCTGCCTTCCGCCCAATGACAGCTGGGATAGGCTCCAGCACCCCACCGCGACCCAGAAGGATAAGCGGTTTAGATGATGTATGTATGTATAAGAATGTGTGCAAAAAATCATGAATACTAAAGGTGGGTAATCCAGGTCCAAAAAGTAAAAACCCTCCCCAGGATTTTGTTCCAACTACCTGAACACCTTTGCTGCTGGTTTGAGCAAAATAGGGAAGTCAAGCAGTTGGAACAAAATCCTAAGGATCCTAAATCCTTACTTTTTGGACCTGGATTACCCACCTCTAATGAATAGAGTAAAAAGTGACTACGTGAAAAAAAAGTACAAAAGTAAAATTTCTTGTCTTCTGAAAAGTAGTCTTGTGAGCTAGTTCTTCTAGCTTCTCACTGCACTCCAGACATCACAAGGATTGTTCAGTTCTATCAGCAGCATTTGATTTAGTTTAATGAATTATGGATTAGATAAACCAGATATTGGATGAGAAATATAAATAATACTGGCCTTCCTCGAGGAAATGGTTAAAAAACACACTGACACATAAAATCACTGCTTGCACGAATATTGTAACAGAACACAAATTACACTGATACAGTAATACTGAGTGTATGTGTTTGTTTAACCATTTCCTGCCCTCTCCTGGTGGAAGTCCAGTATTATGCATAGCTATCATCCAATATCTGTTTACATAATCAATCCTTCATTGTATTAAATTGTATAAGTGCTGCTGACAGAATTGAACAAAGTAAGTCAGGGTCCAAACCTGTATTTTTCTAACTAGCTCACTCTTCACTACTTTTCTAATGTTATACAACATTTTATGGGCAAAAATACACTTATCGCCCAGGTAAATAGTTCTACAATTTGCGTATAAGTCTTAAAT